GATTAAGTAGGACCCTCAAGTACCAGACATCGGAACCTCAAAGGTATCACTGCCTTCACACATGTACTGCTAGTTACTAAAGCGTAAACCCCGTTTATAATAACTCGTCGTCAAGACTCGAGGAACAACGGCGTCCTTCTCGGCTTCTATGATTTTTACCGGGCTAATGGCGGGCCAAAGTTCGTCTAACCATATCCATTGATGCCTCTGATTACTGATGCCATCAGTGATGGTATGGTGGTTAAGGATGTTTATTAGCAACGCCAAATTCTTCACAACCTCGGACCATAACAGAACTTCGTAACTACAGTATAATATCATTTGAATTAAGCCTACCCTGGATTGAACTTGCTTATCAGGGCCGCCGATTATGGCATGTATATGCATTGAAAGAACTGCTGAAAAATAAATAATGGCACCACTACAGCAAAAGACTATCATCAATAATGGCATTGTAAGAAAGCAAAGCATACATAATGTCATTATGTAAGTTTTTTGGGGGGTCTATCTACAGTACTTGCATCCCAGTAGCCTGCGTTCTGGCGAAGGAACAGGATCTGCTCCAGTGTAATTGGTTGCAGTCCGTTGCGCTCGTGCCCGAACGACGTTCGGGCAATGCTGAAAAACCTCTCTACCATATTGGAGGTTGGCGGAACACTACGCAGAAGCCAGGCATCCCGAAAAATAATAATGCTGGAAAATATAACACTATTTTCAGATATAGTACTTTACTTTAGGCACCTCTAGATTTTTCTCTGGAATTTATGTGGTCAAGACTCAACATTCGGAAATTTATTTCTGCTCCTCCTGGTCCAACCGTTCAATGTCTCGCTCTGTCAACGGATCGAGGCCACAACTCTTTCTTACTTTCAAACCGACTCCCTTCCAAGCACGCTCACCGCCACTCACAGCGCCATGGACGACAACCTCCTCGCTACCCCCGCTCCAACGCCGACTTTCTCGCCCAGGCAGATTGCTGCCTTCTACTTCAAGCCCTGCCTGGACGAGGAGGGAGAGGCAACGGGCTATTACGCCTGTGTCCAAACACCTGCAGAGTGACGGGTTGACGCTACTGGACGCACGTGTCCTTTTCGACGAGCTCATTAAGAGCCATCCGTCGTTCACGAAGTATCTCGGTAAGAAGCATTACTTATTGTGTATTTCTAACTTATTTATTTAACCCAGTTTATTTGCTATTTGTATAGCCGCTGATGCAGATATTGTCCACTCCACCGTGTTCGAGCAAGCGGTCGTCAAGGTGCTGGATGACCAGGCCAGCCTGCTGACCGATGGCGAAGTCTCTGCGCTGGACCCCTTCAAGCGCACGCAGGCCGCTGGGGGAGGAACAGAGCGCGCACCGGCGGACAAGGAAGGCTTTGCTGTGCGTACTCTTAAGCGGCGCAAGACAGCTGACGCACCGGCCACCTACGTGCTTCTGGAGGCGATTCCGCCAACGTCCAACATCGTCGAGAGGCTCTTCAGCGTGGCGCGCGCTGTACTGCGCCATGAGCGTCACCGCATCTCTCCCATGATGCTGGAGATGATTCTGTTCCTGAAGATCAACAGCTCTAGATGGGATGTAGCGACGGTGGAGCAGTGCCTGTAAGTAGGCATTGTGGTAATTCGATTGCAGTAATTTACTGGATCGTCACGTAGTCTTGTCTTATTTGTTTTCTTACTTGCTCAACCACACTAAAATATTTATCGTGCTCCTTGGCCATCAATAGATCTCTATCGTATTTTCGGCATTCCTGGCAGAAGCACGTACCACTGTTCGTGCCGAGCTAGGCGCCTATGCTTTTCCATGCGCTCCACGAAAGAACCCTCAACATCGTCGTTAGCTAGACGGTCATCCGTGGTCACTTAGAAAGCCCTGAGGGCCGTTTTTTCCGACCGCGTCAAGCGGGCAGTGTTGCCCCGCAGCACACGCACACACCCTGACTCAAAGTCGGGACTAAACCTCCATTGTGTATTTTGGGACGGAACATAAATTATGATTGTTCGAAGTTCTTATGAAGTAAATTATGCTATGTTGCTGTCGAAGGTGTATCAATACATTTATTTAT